TTCAATCTTTGGTACCGGGCACTGACTATGGTCAAAACATATCATTTTATTGTGATTGTTTAGGTTCATTTTTTAGTTAATAGCTTCTAAAAGTTGTCGCTGTAACTGAAAACGACTAGAAGCATATTTTCGCCAATTTCTAATTAAAGATATGAAATTCAATTAGCTAAGATCCATGATAAATAATATTTTCATATCTTTAATATAATTTTTTTTCGCGGAGTAATGCCAGAATTTCTTAATTACTTGTATATTGCAAGTAAATGCATATCGCCTGAAACCTCTAATAAATCTTGTGTTCGGCAGTGAACGTGTGAAGGGTTGTGATGATGATGATGATATAATAAATTCAATTAAGATAATAATAATTATATTAATTATTGATTATTACAGTTAATGTCTCTGAATGTAAACAGGTTAAACCCAGTCAACCTCTTGATTCATATGAGGCGACTGGGACTTCGTGATGAACCATTCCGGGCTCAAATTCAGAAGGTGGTGCTCCTCGATACGACCCGCATAGTCCGCGGTTTCTTTCCCTTTTCCTTTAACTTTCGGCCGTTTAGTCTCTCCCGCCAAGGGCTTCTGTCTCCTTGGTTTATTTCATGTGTTTTATTTTTTATAATATTTAAATTACTTACTACGATAATACTAAAAAATACTCCTTAACTACCCATTAACCCAAGGCCGTTTGGTCTCCCTTGCCAAGGTTTTCCGTCTTGTAGGATTTTATCAATTTATTTAATTAAATTTTTCGTATATATTCTATTTTTATATATTTTGATATGTATTTTGCGACACAACCAAACGAGATTATAATAGTAATATGTCAACATTAATGCCAGCCCTTGCACCTTAGATGCGTTGAAGATACACAGCCTGTAATTATACTGGCTCTATAAACATATCCCGACAAAAAGTTTACAAAGATCATATGATATGATGGGTATTAAATTTAGTCCATATTTCCATTTTTTATATATTCATATGTTTTAAACAGACGAGAATACTAAAAATATCCAAATTGTAATGAAAAATGGTAACAGTCATATTTTAATGTTATTTTTGGGGAATTTTGTAATTTGGTAAAATGAACATTTTACATATAGTCACCCTGGTCTCATGCAAATTCAGAATCTTTAATTAAATATTTTTGTTCTTTTTGTAGACAAAATTTTGAAATATATAAAAAATTAAATAACATCATGACCATATTATGTTTTATTTTATTTTAATGTCATAGTCATATTTAAAAAATAAATGAGTTTTGAAGCTGAGCGGAAATCGAAGGTTAATATAAAGCACAGTGGCGCTTGATTCCGTAGCGTTGAAATACGGAACTAATCATTAGCAAATCCCTTCTTTGTTTCGCTGCAGTCGTCGTCCGAATCCGAAATCAATATTGCGTACTCGAATCGTTACGTCGCCTTTATGCAGCAATGCTATGAAACAAATCTATTTTATATGGCGTACAGTAGTCGCTCATAGTGAAACGTTAATTTAATGTAAGATTGGTAACACTTACTATTACTTTACTTGTTAGGCCATAAAATGAATGCGTGTCCCCTATAATTTGTACAAGTGCTTGCTTAGCTGAAAAATCATGTACACGTGGTATATTATAATACAGACACATCTTTATATTACTTTTATTCGCGTTTCGAAGTCACTTCTAAGCATAATATTTGCATTATTTGTTAAAAATTTAAAATGCAATACCTAATCAAGATGGCGGTTGCCACTTGCAATACAAAAGGTGAAAGCGTCGTTTGATGCTATTTTTAGTTAATTACAAAATTATCTATTGTGCATGAACTAATTATAGATGTTATTTATTAAGATAGGACTAAATTACTATAAGTATGGTGTTGGTAATTAATGCTTTATATATAATTTTCGATACGAAGAGGTATAATATTATACAACCAAATTGTAATGACATCGGCTATAGCCTGTAGTTGTGAGCCACTGTACGTCGGTATATTATTATAGATTTAAGTGTGTGAGTGAGCGTTGTGTACGCTACGTGACCTCGAAAGAGGAAGGAGGACATAGCTATCTAGCCATTCTAGAAGGTTGACGTCATTCAATTCGTCGCGAGAGCGCAGCGCATAGCAAGACATTGTGAAATGTGAACGACCAGCGGCCACCCACTGCTTGCATTACCAGACACGAATTTATTTGAAAGTAGTGGCTATGAATATTAGTTACACCTTAGATTTCTGCTATACACGTTGATTTTATAACTGCGCTACACTTAATTTGTGACAATCGAAGACATTATCCTAATGCTAGTTGTTGCGACGAATATTAGGTATAGTATATAAGGAATCATCGGCGATTAATTTCGCCGTTAAATATTATGATTATATTTAAAAACCATATTCATTTATTACCGGATTATTACCTTATAAGTTTATTTACGTCGATTTCGGTATAAATACATTCATAAATGTTTTCAATTTGAGTAGTAACTATGCGTGAGTGACCTATATAGTTAAACTACATCTGCGAGCATTTTGTTTATAATGGGAGTGGTTTTGTTAGGTGTTAATTTAGGAAATTCCACAGCTTTCGCCTTCTTGTATCTATATACTTGTTTTTGCTAAGAAAATAATTTACAGCTTTACAGTACCTATTTAAATTGGTTGGGTTATATAAATTAAACATGGCTACGGCTACGGCGACGTTGCCAAGTTTCCTTAGATGACGTAAACTGCTATTTACGATAAGCACAATATTTCAAGGTATTTCACAACAACAAAGAACGTTTTATCTTTGTGTGAAGTATGAAGATAATGTATTTTCTATTTTAATTTAATCAACACAATGTTTTACTTACGAAGTTATTTAAAAAATTAGCAAAGGGGTAATTTTTTAATTTAGACATGTTCTCCGTCGCATACTTAAAATTATGTTAAGTACTTTTTTTTTTCGACAAATACATGTTGCAAAATATTTAGAACATTGTACCTATTAGAAAATTTTAATGTAATATTTCCCTTTATTATAACGAGTATTTAGTCAAAAAACAGTTTTTACAGACTAAATATTTCTTATATCATCTTTTATTTTATATCTACTTTAAAGAGATACATATAATATATTTATTTTGTATTAAATATTGGGTATATACTTTTATTAAAGAAGTATAATTACCTAATTCTGGGAGGGAACTGGGTGAATTATGTTTGTCAACAAAGTACCTACCTACTCTAAATAAACAGTTACAATTACGTAATTCTGAAAAAAAGATCTCTAATTTTATCCGTATCTCCTATGCCCTAAAACGATTAAGTGTATGATTTCTTATGCATATATACGTAATTTTTACGTATGAAAATTAATTAAAAAAATCGTATACGTATTTAATTAAGTTGCAAATGGTGTGCACCACCTGAGCCTTTGTCTTATAAAGATATAATTGGTGTACAAATTACTTCCTGCAAAATGTTCCACAAATGTAAATAGTTTGGTCTCAAATTATTTTAAAGTAAATAATAGACCTGCTGGAGAAATGTCATGATCCAGTAGGATCTTACAGAAAAAAGTACACATTAAACAGCATCAATAGCCCCCAAGGTAAGGTAATTTATGTAGAACGTAGTTTTCATTTCAAAATTTACTATAATATAAATTGTTCAGTCTAAGTAACAATAAAAAAAAAACAATTTGCTTTTGATCAAGCAGGTCCTCAGAATGTTCTATAAAAAAGTTGTGAAAATTTCAGTGGTTACAAATTTCCTTATTTTATGTTGATATATTCACGTTTTTCAAGTTAACAGTACTTAAAGAAATGTTTAAAAACAATTGATTGATACGTTTTATGTAGGGATCAACTATATTGCAGCAAGAGTTTCAGGGACCTATATATTTTGAAGATTTTTGTGAAAGTAATATTTTTGGTTAAAACAGTACTTTATAAAATCCATGGTATGGTCATCCTTTGTTTTTTTCACTATGAGTCCCTTTCGGCTACTGTATTTATTTTTACTTACTACTATACGGATGTCCAAAACGAGACGCTCCTCGTAAAAGCTTTTGTGTATTTTTTTGTTTTCAGAAGGTTTTGTACTTATTATATTTTTTATTTATTTATAGGATTTTATCGATGTACAATAGCATCAGTTCGTAATGGTTTCAGCACAATATTACTTATTTCAAATAGTTTACTATATATTATAATCTTATTCTGTTTTATCGGAATAATTTACACAATGTAATCAGACTTTTAAAACTGCGTCGGCGATCAATATTCTGGTTTTCTCCGATATCGGGTAAGCCAAAGTCATCATCAAGAAGCCGGCATCATAGTTGAATATTTGTTGCCACCAAATGAACTCTAATTGATTCGTGTTGCACACATTACATCAAAACTTGCTGCACGTCTTCATTATCCATACATTTATTACAATTGGACACAATTCATAAAATATTATTTACACATATGGAAGGTACTAACCATTGAAATTATAAATATGTTAGTTATTTTCCGAAATTAAAAGCAATCCTCTAGATAAATATTAAATTTCTTTTCTTTATTACATATTACACAGCGCTTAAGAGATTTTTAAAATTAAGTTTTAAGCTTAAGAGAAAAGCAAAGTTGGCAATAAAAATCAGCTGTTGATGTCCTTTAATGCATACCTTTGTAGAGTTCTGCTGGAACTAAACGTATTTTCGCCTAACTGATTGGGATGCAAATTTTATTACATAATATATAAATACAAATTTTTGGAATATTTCGCAGGAAATACCAAATATTTACTGAAATAATATACCTATATTTATCTTAACATAACAAAGGTGACGCTTAATTGTTGCGAACCGCAAACAACTTGCTTAAATTGCAACCCGGAAAAAACTAACTTGATAAAATTAAAATAACTACTGTGTTTGTTTTATTTTTTGAAATGTTATGTTAATGTTATTTAAAAAATAATGAATATAAGTGTAAACGTAGTAATAAAATATTTTTCAATTCCAGTGAATCCTTCATAATGGCGGAGACTACTATAAATGTCATGTCGGAAGATTTAGAAGACGGCGAGATTGAGAGTGAAGGTGAAGAAGCGAATGAAATTGTAAATGATATTAAAGTTGAAGAATTAAATACAAACAATGAACAAAATCCAGGTATCGATAAAGCAGAACAGCAACAGGTTTATTATTCGAAATCAGGTAAGAAAAAGAAATCAAAATCACATAAAGGTGAGCAGAAGTTTAAGGATAAAAGTAAAAAGAGTCGCAAATATGCTAGTCCAGTCGACGATGACTTTGCTGGTAATATTGAAAAAGCAATTAGGAAAGCTATGAATAAGAACGATGATAACGAAGAACAAACTGGTGAGGATGTTGAAGAACGTCGTAAATATAAAAAAAGAAAGAAACACGACAGTAAAGATGGGTCGAGTAGAAAACGTAAAAAACAAGAATATTCTGATGAAGTAGATGAAAGTGAGATGATGTGCGTCAGAGGTGCGTCGCCCGTACAAAAACATTCTCCGGCTGAAGAATACGAAGATAATGATAGCTCATACGCTTCTGACAGCAGTAACGATTCCAGGGGTCACCAGCAGCAACGCACTCAGAGACAACGGCCGTCTCAGCGTGATCGTAATAAAAATAATAAAAATGATAGGAGAAGAGGTACACACCCGATGCAAGATCCTGACGGCGTTTGCTTATACTACATGCAAGGAAAATGCCATAAAGGTGATGACTGTATTTATTCTCATGATGCTCAACCTCCTCGAAAGATGGAGCTTTGTAAATTTTATCTAATGGACTGCTGTGCGAAACGTGATAAGTGTTTATATATGCACGCAGACTTCCCTTGTAAATACTATCACACAGGGCTTCCTTGTATATATAAAGACGAGTGTAAGTTCGCACACGGTAAACCTTTAAACGAAAGTCTTAAAAACATTCTTCTAAAGCATATAGAATCTGCTCCTAAAGAAATCTTAGGAGATTTCCCTAGATTAAATAGGGAGGGCGCTTTAAAAATGATTCAAACAACTCAACTAAAACTAATGCAACAATTTTCAGAAAACACTGAATGTCAAGAGAGAAGTATTCCGTCTCTTTTCGAATTAAATATTCCCAATCCTCAAAATGCTCCGGATAGCTTCCAAATGAACCAATATAACAACGAAAGGCAAAAGGTATCACCGAAGGTACGGCAGTCGAGATGGCAAAACGAAGGCTCAAATCCGAACTTTGGAATGAACCTGTCACCTAATGGTAACACCAGCACAAGTAACGTTCTTAATATTAAAAATTTAACAGGAGTATTAACGCCTAGACAAATTTCAGATCTTACCAAAATGGGTATAGAAAATTTAGATCAATTAGGACAGTTAACAGTATTGCAGTTAAATAGTATTGGTATTTCCTTAAAACAAATAACAGAAATACAACTAAACACAATGAGTATACAAAAGTTAGGTTTAATTAATAATATCGATCAACAGCCTCAACCATTCATAGGGCAAGGCGCCGGTGCTAAAGACTTAGACCTTAGAGTGCCGCCTGTAGTTCCAGTTTCAAATAATGTTCCTGTTTCAGCCGAATTGCCTGGGCAGGATATTGATATGCGTTTTCAGCCAAGTGTATCGCTTCCGAAAGTTGATGACTCCGCGACTACAACTACAGCAAAGGACGTGCAACCTAATAAGGATATGATTGATATAGATCAGTACACTAAGGACGCCTTGAAGTTTGCTATGAAGGATAAAGAAAATATTGACATCTCAAACGAAGCGTTTGAAAACGAGAAACCTCTTATTACAACTGAGTCTAAAGACGTAGATCACAGGGTGCTTCCATTCGCCGATGATGACCCGAGAACACGTCATTCTAAAATAGACGACAAGCCAATGCAAGCAGAGTGCGATACTGACATAAGATTTCTCCAACCCGAACCGTTGTTTAAAAATCCCGATAAGCGACATCGTAGATCAACTACAGATGATGAAGATAATAATCTTTTGATCGACGAAAAATGGTATTCTAGTGATGAAGAAAAGGGAAACAGAAGGAAGTCTCCGGCGTCATCACCTCGGAAATTTTTAATGTCACCACCAGCTCCCGCGCCTCATGTAATAGAACCTTCGGCCGTTTTAAGTAGGCTCGGGGACTTGTCAAAAATCGACATAAGCGAGGAGGTGACAAAGTTGCTTAACACTATGAAAAATAATTTACAAGACGGTAAAAAAAGTACTTCAGAAGCAGAAACTCACACCTCACGGGATCCCCGATCTAGACGATCTCCAGATAGAATAAACGATAATAATAAATCTCATAAAAAGGTTCCGCGAGTATCGATTTATGAATGCATAGACGGAGAGCCTACCGACGGGCGCCGAAGAACCGACGTTGATTTACGACAGTCTGAATATAAATTGCCTGCTTTTGGTGACACAGATTTGCGCCAAAGTACAAGCGGAGATATAGATTTTCGGTTAGGATTACCGTTTAAGCCCATACCGAATTACACACCTGCTTCCGAAATAAATGGCTCTATCAATAGTCATCCACCAATTACGTATAAACTAATACCTATTGACATACCCCGGCCAGACTACACCGATATCAGAAATAGCACTGCTAAGTCACAAGCTCTAGTGGACCCTAGGCTGCGGAAAGTGTTTAGATTGTCGGTGGACGAATCCCACAGTGATGGTGAGAAGCCTACCAAGGTAACTAGCACAGCGCCGCGGGTCGATCCAAGACGAAAGCCGAAAGAACCAGATAATCCTAGTCAAGAGCAAAAATCTAATTCACTGGATTTGCAAACAATACTTCAAAGTTCCAATTGGTATAAAGACTTAAGTTCTACGCAAAAAATATTTGTAAATCAACACTTGGCGCCAGTAACACAAATGATAAAGCAGCACCAGCAAGAGAAGTCATCTGGTAAAAAGTTTGATCTCTCTTCTATTAAAAGTAATACAGTTTTGTGTAATATTTTTACGAATTTAGGTATATCTTTAGGGGAGAATGGTGAGTATTCATATTTGCCGAAACCGAAGGAGGCTTTATTAAAAACTCCCATTAACTTCAATCAAAATACAATACCTTTCGGTATGAACAGTAATATGAACGCACCCGGTCCAATGGAAGCAAATATGAATATGATGAATATTCCGCCTATGGGTATGGGGGGTGTTGCCAATATGAACAATTTAAACGTAGGTCACATGCATAATTTTAATCAGCCGTTACCAGATCCCCGAGGAGGTCCAACGCCCGGTTTGCTCGGTATCGCACCTAATATACCTCATAATTTTAACAACTTTGGTGGGCCGAATAACTACGGGAACATGCCATTCAATGGTCCTCCACCGGGTAACAACGACTTTAACTATATGGACGGAGATCAAAATTTCCAGCGATTTCCTAACAGAGGTGGACACCGTGGAAGAGGGAACGACCGGTGGAATCGCGGAGGCTCTGGGAGAGGGCACAGAGATAGAAAAAACTTCAATGACCGCGGTAATTGGAAAAATGATAGAAATTAGGTAATGTACATAATATACTCTTCGCATAGTGATAATTGTAATAAATTATAAATTATTGTTATGATTATAGCAACCCTTCCACAAAATACAAAATGTGATCAAGGTGATAATTATTAGAAAGGAACAGACTTAGAATACATAGAAGTTAGAATATGATTTTTACTTTAATTAGATTGTTAAGAAGTTTATCTGTACAAGGTAACGTTTTGGTGTATATATTTTTCGATAAGGTAAATTTAGCCAATAATTATATATTTTATATTAAATTATGTTTTTTTTTGGCAAAGGTATAATTTAGTAGCTTCGTTTTTCACGTACTCATTTATAAGCCAAATGTTTTAAGACTGAGTACATACATGTTTATTATTTTCGTTATCTAAACACATACACGTACCATTTGAATGGTCTTCTGTTATAATTTGATCCTCTATGACTTATTTTCAAATACCACGAAGTTCCAATATGTCAAAATATATCAGCAATAAACACGTAGCGATTTTATTTGAATCTTATAATTATATGTGCAGTCATTAGTAAGCAGTAGATATTCAAATATCTATCAAGTGAAAGCAAAAAAAATGATTTTTGTAAAAAAAAAATAGATTTTAAAATTTACTACAATAGGTATCCGTTTTAGATTTTTGATGTAAAAATAGTTATGATAAATAGCGTATCGAACTTTAAATAAAATAAATACATGTTTACATAACACACTGTGTTAATTTCAGAAACCTTGTGTTTATAACATTTAACGTTACAGGTCTGATGTGGGCGAATTTTTAGGTAAAAAATTTAAATTTTTTATATGTAATAATTTCGTAATTATAGGTATTGTATGTTATTAAAATGAATGGATGTTTTTCAGTCAATGTGTATGTCCGAATAAAATTGGTAAGTATCTGTGACGGTAAGGCACGTATGGTATTAAAAATAAAAGTTACACCCCTGATTTAATTATCTTTATTTAATGTTTGCAAAACTGAGACAATATAGTTGGAAAAATCGATCTTTAAACGATTTCCTCCGGACTTCATGTTCACAGCCACCTGAGAAACTTTCGAGAAAGTTGGAGCTGAAAGAAGACATTTAACGTAAGTTGCTAACGTCAACTTGTAGAAATTTATTACAAACAGTACAACAGTGTATCGTAGTATAGGCGTAATGTAGTGATCTAAGTGTAAAACATACATAAATTTAATGACTCCATATCGTCTTGTTCTTCTATATTATTGTAAAAAAGAACGCATTGTTTTGCAGACAACTTAAGTTGTGAAACAAAATAATTGTAAAGGAGCTCCATTTCTCTTCCCGCAGTATTTATAGTATTCGACGAACAAACTAATATGACTCCTTGAACTCCAAGGCGAAAAACTGGCCAGCAGGATTCAAATCTTAAAGATAAAAACCATATAATTAACCTTCTTTACAAAAAAAAAAATCTAATATCTAGTAGCTTAAAATAACCTAATCACGAGGTTGTGTGTCTATCCCACAATTTCACTGATGACCACAAAATTTAAGTACTTGCGAGGTAGGTAGTATAAATAAGACTGACCTGTGATCTCCGCTACAATCCCATAGTTCTATATCAACATTATGAGTTTTTCCATTCACATTTAGGTTGGACAATTCAAATTCAACAATTCGAACACCTTGGGTTGGTCTGGTAATGATAACTTCGTCTAAATTTATGGATTCAGATATAAAGTTAGCTATAAATGTTTTTCCACTCTGTAATAAAGTTTTTTTTGCAAAGGGTCCTGAGCTGAAAAAGGCATTATAAAAATTTAAATATTACTTACGTCACACGGTCCAATCATTAGAATTTTCAATTTTGTATTATGCATGATATAGTTTCACTCCACACTTGAAAACGTGTGACACAACTTTTAAAATTACTTTCACGGTACTAAATAGGAAACTGTGCTGTTAATATCATAAAATATATATAAAATATTTTCAGGTGAAACAAACTATTGCTATGACTTACAGCGCTTGTTATGTCATCGTCGTCAAGGAAACTAAAATCGATTTTATTTATTACTTAAATTAAAAACTTAATAATTAATGTGAAAGTTTGTATGATTGGATGTTTTTTTCTCCAATATAGATAATAAAAAGTAAAGTTAAAGTATACGTCCCAATGCTGGTGGGCACAGGTATCTTCTCATTTATGAGAAGGTTTTAAGGCAAAAAAATGTATGTCTCAATGCGTGTTGACGAGCTTCACTTGTCTTCGAAATTTTTTTTTCTTATTTCTCAGACATGCAGGTTTCCTCGAGATGTTTTCCTTCACCGTCGAGTACGTGGTAAATCAGCACTTAAAATTGCAATTAAAAATTTCATTGGTGCCGGCGGCGATCGATCCTTGTTTGCTCACGTAGGTACTGTAAAATCTTTGGCCAACAGCAACAGCGCAGGTTTAAAAGTTTGAATACTTTTAAACCCGATGTAAGCCAGTCTTTCGATTTTTCATACCTTTGCTTGAGTGAATTCCAAAGAATGGTAAAAAAGGTGTAAGAATCTAAATAACTACAAGACGTTCAAAATTGACTTGAAGACTAATGATTTTCTTGCCTACGTGGTTCACTGTTTTAATTTTTTGAATAAAAATAATTAAATGTTGACAAAGTTATTGGTGCGGTTAGTTTCAAATGCTGTACTTGGAAATATCCATACCAAAAACTTTGTCGACACTTCATAATATCTATTCATATTTCCTTTGAATACGACTTGATCTACCTTGATGCTAAATATCAAGTTTCTAAGTAACCTAGAAGTGGGCTACGTTTTTGATGAGTTAAAAGTCAGAGTAAAAAAAATGGCACTTTAAACCTATAATAGAATTATTAATAAATTTGGAATTCTAAGGTATTATCACTTTATAAATAATGCGAAATTATAAGTGTGTAGGATTAATATTTTTAAGTAATGTGGGTTCGACAGTGGCTCGAGATGGTACCTGTAAGTATACACGGCTGGTGCGTCACCCTTTTCTTTTCCGAACTTGGCTGACACATTGCCCTGCGTCTATATATGAAGCAGAAGCAGTACGATGGCACCGACATCAATCTTGTCTAATGAAAAAGAAATGATCAGCAACATACCTAAGTAGTACTTAACGCCATGTGGTGGTGGCGTAAGAGAAATCGCCACCACCTCTGATCCAATAGCCAATAGGTGTAAAATTGGAAGTTGTCGAAGCGATATTACCGTCTTGTATGTTAAATCGGTTGTAAAAAATACCCAAACATGGCCAGTAGCAGTATCACAGAAAATCAGAATCTTCGAAGGTATTGGATATGTATATTTTTTTTATAGAATGGGGTAGACAAACGACCAATTCAGTCCACCTTTTCAACCGACGCCAAAAAGGGAAGTTCTCAATTAGACTATTTTTTATGTGTAACCTAAGAACTTTTTCCTAGGTTAACTGATTTTGATTGATGATTCTGTTTTTATTTGAAAGCTGGTGCTTGACTTATCCTTAATAATAATGCGTATTTAATCGACAGAGGCTACATGGATGATGTTCTCATTTTATTTATATTGAAGTCGGTTGTACAATTTTTGTAATTTTACCTGTTTTATAGAATAAGGGTACACAATCTACCTGATGATAAGTGGATGCTGTGACCTCAGGTATATATAATGTACTCTGTGCTGTGACCCGAGACATAAACATCTATTCTCGATTGAGAATCAAAATGCAGATTTGTGTTGTCCTTCCTGAGGGTTAAGACGGGTTGCCGCGTTTCCGGTTAAAAGGGTCTCCCGATCTGTATTTTGTGGTAGCATAGCACTTCCTCGGTCGAGCCGACTTATTCGTGATACAACCATATAACAACTGCACCATGACTCTACCTAGTAAATATTTTCAGCTATCTGATGTAGAAATAATACTTTATTTTTAATAAATAAATGGTATAGCCTGTGTGTTAGCAGCGTCAGCGTAAACGAATCTGGGGTTGGGATGGTCAGAGTATCGGCAACGTTTCTTTTATATTTGGACGCTTTAAATTGTCTTTTGATTCTAGTTACGTTAAAACTTTTCAAGATCACGTAGCGGTGTATAGTATCAAGTAAATAAAAAAAACTGATTCAATGTAGGCTTGTTTAAAGCTATTATGAACATCGACATTAATACCGGTTTGGGTAAACAAGACCACAGAACGGAACCGACTTATATGAACTTTTATAAATGCCAATTTAAACACATTACCCGCGCCTTATAAGCGCCTCGGCCCCTCGGCAACCAAATAAACTATTATTGTGATTTATAATATGGTTTAGTTGCAAAATAATTGAGACACGTAGCACCTCGGGCACACATTCGTCGAGTGGCATGGGAATTCAGAGGCAGATACGTAGTGTGGCCACAATGTCTTGCCGCACGTCATGCTTCTTGTCATGCCCATCGCTCTCTGTTTTGTCGGTTTTTTGTACATGAGTCAAAGGCCTGGCAATATGAGCGCGAGTGGCTGGCCACCCACTCGCGCAAACGCAGTACGAATTGGTACGAATCGAGTGCTAGTTAGGGAAGCTCGTCACTTGTCATTTAAAAATCATAAATAGTGTACATATCATCATCATTCAGCCATGTTATCACATGAGTAAATAATATACAGAGAAAAGCTATGTCGACGACGACAACGTATATTTCTTTTTATGACATTGAATATAATATATAATTAAGCTATAATAAATATGCATAGCTCGCACGCTGCAACAGTTTCAACATCCATTGTATAGCAAACGCGAGATGGTGGGGAATGGTGAGGAACACTAAACCTAAACGTAAACTTGTAGAGATTGCTTCTAATGAAGTCAACGCTCCGTCCCCTCATACTCTAATCCAAAGCCCCGAAAGCGTTCAGCTCGAGTTACTTAAAAGTTTTCAGTGCCTGAATGACAGGCTTGTGGAAACTGTCCATGTGGTCGCAGCTCAGTTCTGTAAATAATCTCATGGCTGTTAGACGGGAGATGAAGCTGCAGTCTTC